GTAAAAGACCGGTACAACAGAACAGGCTTTATTGACCAATCAGAAGCCAGAGCCACGCGTCAGGCGCCTTTCATCCGAGTGCACCACGCTGGCCACACCGCTCATTATATACTGCATCTCATCCATGTCCTTCTCTGGTTGGCTGCCTTCCTTTCCCGCATTCCATTGGTTCGCAGAGAGACACGGGATTGGCTGAGGCCAGGTGGTCCAACATGTCTGCGCCCTTATACGACGCCACACCACACCACAGCAACACCACATTACACTGTCATTTAAAGCTGTTTTTCTCTAATTTTCACAAATTATCACGTAATGTGCGACATTTGCATCATCTTTTTTCGTTTCTTTACATTGTTTCGACAAGTATCTTTCGCGTTATTATAATATTTCGTGGACACTTTAGAATTCATGTGATAACCTTAATAGATCTTGAATTAGCAAAATTTTGTTAATTTAAATGCGTACAATGGTGTGACTTATGACACTGATTGAGTTCTTATTTGTGTGTTGTAGCAATGGGCTTATTTCACTTTTAGCCTGTAGCTATGAACAAGGTGCAGTGGTACCTCAGCCTTGATTTCAACCCGCTCCAGCTTTCCGATGTACAGGTCGCCTTCGATAGTTATTCAAAGCCACTAATCAGCAAATTCATACCTCAGTTAAATGGTATCTTGGTTCACTTGGAAAAACAGTCCTTAAAGCTTCGACCGGCTTCGGATTTAGCAACAGAACGCGACAAGGATTATCAGTGCATCGTTCGGATTCATCCCGAACATCCAACTGCCAAGGTTTGTCTTCTAAATGTCTTCCTTACCTTACTTAAATCAACCGTCAGTAGTCACTTTTTGGTCAAGTCACCATTGCATCAGATAATCGTGCATGTGAATAAAATGTACCACGACTGTGATGATGGAAATCATGTTGGTATTGACTGCTGGGCGAATGTCTGTGCCATGAGACGGTGGAGATATTGTGCAAAGGCTTTCTGCTACAATGTTAAGTAGCACAATTGCCGGGCAACATTAAATGAGGAAAGATAAGGCTGATTTCCTGGAGAGTCAATTTCGGTAAGGAATTACAGCTGTTGGCACCACATGAATGTGGGAAATCTCCCCAGCTCCTGTTCTACCAATGTCTTAAATTTAATAAGATATATATATAGAAGTCAAGTACATACGTTAAAATTTCTGTGAGAGATCTCCGATCCAAATACAAGCCCGAGATGTAAAAAAATGCAGACGAATTCCCCCTCTTTCTTCCATTGGCTATTTAATGCAATTTCCAACTTTCATCTACATACATTCAACTTTTACATCAATGGCAACGGTGATCTACTTGCGTGGGGAAATCCAAATCCATGTTTTTGTAACCAAATCGATAACCAGCCAATGGATCAGCATCTGAATTTTCTAACCGTTTTAGTAGATCTTTACCACTTTACTGGGGTTTAAATATGTATTGAGCTGCATCAATTTATTGATACAGCGGCTGTTGCGTTTTGTAGCTTTTGAACAAATAAGGTGTTATAAGTCCACAGTAAGTCAATACTTTTGTTGATAAGCCGCCAATGCGAAGTCCAGCCTTGTCAGTTGCCAATTACGTCTTGAACCGCGATTGTTTAAAAATGGGTAATTGAACCGGTCAAGGTGAAGTCTGAGAATGTTCCTCTCTTTGAATTTGCTATTCCCGTTCTTATAGTTAGGACGACTCGAAGAATGTGCACCCTCTGTTAGAACTAAAAAGTAGATTTCAAGATCTGTGGAGGTGGATAGAGGCTAAACGGAGCTTAAATGTGGCACTTCAAACCCAAATAACATGTAGTTTTATCAAGAAATCGGGAAATTGGATTCCCATCGAAGGCGTCTAAACACAGGATAGGCTGTAGTAATTTATTGGCTATTATATTTTGGTTGGTTATTTCGGTATGCTGAATGCTCCTCTAAAAAAATTTAAAGATGCATTGTGATTGTCATTTTTCCTTTCAAGTGCCCTTTAACAAACCTGTTTTGGTTATTACACCCGCCACCTCGGAACGGAATTCTAAGAAAATCACAAAATTTCGTAGTCCTATGTTGCTTCCACCAAACATGTTAAGTTACACCTATTGCCTGTTTTTACAGGTACACTTGGCTGTAAACGCCACAATCTTTTGTCCATGCATTGGCCTTCAAGTCGAAGCCACTATAACTGCCGTCAAGCCGCAGCGTCTTGCATGCCGTTATGGTGATGGCTTTGCAGTATTCATTAGCGTACCTTTACAAGGCGTTGAATCGGAACCCCTCCCAATCGACCCTGAGACGGGATGTCCTCTCCAAGTCTTCCCACAAGACCGCGTCCACGTCGAGGTTTCCAAAGTCATTCGTTCCGCTAACGGGGAATCACTTCAAATAGTGGGACGTGTTATCTCTCTGGTGAAACGTGGTAAAATAGGCAGGAAGGCCCTAGATCTACCTTACGAGGATGTCAACGGATGCGACAAGCAAGGGGTTGATGAGAATAGTAATAAATCAAGGAAAGGAAAATCCAACTCAGAGCAACACTTTGGTGCATTAGAAGGCCACACGATGGAAACTTCCAGTCAAAAGGTAGGGAAACATAAGTCTAAAAGGCTCGAACATCCCTCTGATACGGAGGAAAAAACTCAGGCGCATGGTGGTGGTGAACACGCTCCCCAAGAAACACTGCTTCTTAAAAGAGAACCGGAAAGCGTCATTGAGAAACACCGAAAAAAAAGGAAACGGCACCTCTCAGATGAGTCGTCTGTTGTGCAGACTGAAGAAGAGGAGGTGCTAAAGGTTAACAAAAGGCGGAGAAAAAATGCGGACGCTGCTCTTCTGGTATCCGATTCCCAACCGCTGCAGCCGGCAGAGACGGTCGTGAAGAGGGAGAAGTCCTACTTCACCGAATTGAATAAGAGTCCAGACATCTTTTCTTCATCCGGTGACGAGGCAAGCGAGCCGTCGCCGCCTTCAAAACCGAAACCAATGAAGCATGAAGCACGATGATTTAAAACTCACTGGTATCTTGTAAACCTCACCCTTCTATTCCTGCCCACGGGTATTACGTTTATAAGAGCGAAGCAAATAAAATTTCGATATTTCCCTGTCGAACATTTTGGCTACTCCGATAAATCGAAAGTTACGAGTCACAGTGGTAAATTTACAAAGGCGGACGTTGGAGTTCATCATTTGTTCTGTCCGCTATGTTAAGGTTGAAACAAGCAGTATGAGGATTCTTGAGCAAACTATCGGGATCTGCATATCACCAAAAATTTCGATCGAATTTACAGCGGCATTTTGGACAGTTTGTTTCGAGGATTTCGCCAACAGCGACAGTACGCATTAAGCTGTGCCTAATTAGGCAATTTAGGGTCAGGACCTCGTGTCTGGTAGTCAGTGCAACTCAGGGAGTGAAGCAGGCGGAAAATTCAACAATTTCTTTCCAGTGTTGTGCCGTTGTTTGTTTTGATGCGTTCGTTAACCACAGTCGAAGGGCGGTATAACCATGCGTGACACAAAGGGGACAATGTGCAGATTATACTGTAATCCCACAAGGCTTCAAACCCAGTCAGTTGAAACCAGATGAGAATTTGTACATGGCAGGAGAACGATCAGTGGTGTCGTGCGTTGTGCAGCTATTGCGGATCCGCCAGTTTTTCTTGCGACATTTTAGTTAACAAATGTCAGGGGCGGCGAGCCTAAAATCCACTTCATACGCAGCCTTCTCCCCGCTTAAGTAACATCAAATAAACCTGGCCTTTTGTCGTGGTCAGAAACAACGTGCATCAACCCTAGCATCATTTTACATGGCCCATGACGTCATGTGAGTCATTCACTATCTAATCCGTGATTGGATGTTTCCCGCTGAAAACTGGAGTGATCCAGGGCAACCCCACCAGACAACCTTGCAAACAGCACTAGTTTACTAATCTCCACTTTCTACGTACCGAATACATATCACGTCCAATTAAGTCAAGTGATGCAGCACACTTGGCCACAGCTCGTCTAGCAAGCAACCCCTGCGATTCACCTTGAGAACCAGAAGTGAAACATAGCTGCGCCGTGTCATGACACCGTGCTTGTTTTAGGACTCAATGAGCAGAATATGATAAAGAGCAAATCCCAGTGCATCTGTCATTACTTTCAGAGATTAACATAGCCGAAAGACCGTTCATAGGCAGCAAAATCGAACATGGTACCCCACACTACGGCTGTTTCAATGAAGGCAAAAGTATTCAATGCATTCCACAGGCTAGTTTACAATATAGTGTCAGGTTGCTCTGGACCCAGTAGTAATGTAATTAGAACAAAATGGGCTACTTAAACTTGTCACTTTAAGGTGAAATGAGTAGACTAAGAGAAGTCAGGTTGGATGCAAGCGTATTTTTACAAATAGCAACAAGTCTATGAAACCGATTTATTTCAGTTTGATAGACTGAGGTTTTGTGCTTTTGTTAAGACATGAACGCCGTCTCTTGACACCAGTACCGCGAGTTGGGGTTTTGGGTGACTTTGATGGTGTTGAAACCTTAGCACCACTGTTGGCGGATAGTCGTCGCTTTCTGGCCTTCCTAATTTGTTTAGAAATTACACCAACTTGAACAGATTCCGCCGTTGAATTAGCTGGTATCTCAATCTTTTGAACCTAAAAATAAATGAAAATTGATGCAATTTCAACAGGTTAGTTGAATGGACACCTTTCATGCTAAGGATGGGGAATGGCAAAGTAAGTGCGATAAGGAGCACTTTCATGCAAAAGAACACAACTTCCGTTGATTATTGGTAGCCAGTTGGGAGGAACACTTAGTTGCCCATAATATTGGAAAAGCACCATTGAGAAAATAACTTCGGTAATATAACAAAGACCGTTATCCGAACTAGGTTAATCGGACAGTTAGTTCGTGGCGATTGAACGTGTGCTTCAAGCATACCTGCGTGTCGTCGCTTGACAGTTTTTGTTCATGCTCGGCTCGTTTCCGTTTGCCTGACTTTCGCCGAACGCAGAAATTAACAATGATGGGGGAGTTGTGGACCATAGATCCGTGTTTCGAAGTGAAAGCAGCTATGGCGTCGTCCTCATCAACAAAGTCTATTCGAGCTGAACTAGAAGAAAGCAATGTTGAGCAAACGCATGCTTACTTTAAACAAGTGGTGTCTGTAGCTATGCTTACAACAAACTACTTTCGATAACTCATAGGTTTTCATCTAAACCTCATATTTTTCCGTTCGTACTACAGCTATGGGTCAAACCACCTAGAATCGCAAAGTTGTCAACAAAATCGACAAGACACTGCGTGCGAAGTGGCAAAGAATCGAACATAATCAGAACATGACAGCTCGTTTCGTTCTAATCAATAGCAAAATATCATAGTGCATCAAGTGCTAGGGTAATTAAAACCAACTAAGAATTGGCAGACTGAGAGCTGATACTTAATTAGAGGTAGATTAGCATAAAACCCTGAGTCATGTACACTAGCGTTGTCAGTGTTAAGCCGGTGGGATAAAAATGCTCCGAAAACTACTTGCCTTATAGCAACAAAAGTCCCAAAAATTTGAAAACAACATATACATAGGAAAGAGATGCTGATGCTGGGTCGAAAAGTGTAAAAAAGGCCATATTTGAATAGCAAAAATTGAGTGTAACTAACCCAAGAGTCTTTTCTGGTCCCGCATGTGGTAGAAAAATATCCTTAGCATTAGGGAACAAGGATTGGAGGTCCTCTAGCACCGTCTGTCGTGGGAGGCAAGACACAATAAGATTACACCGTTTAAAATCACTCAGCTGGTAAGTATTTGGGTGCGGAAATGTGACGCCTGTTTTTTGTGAAAGCAGCACAAACATTGGCGTTTTACCATCGAAGCTCAGGTTGGCCGCCTTTTTTAAGGCCTCACTAGCAGCTTCAGACGATGCAAATTCGAGGAAGGCATACCTTTAATAAGAAACCAGTCTGTTTACAAACATTAAAGCTTTATTAAAAAGTTATCTAATGAACGTTAAGTCAAATGCGACGAATAAAGACTACATAAATCTTCAATCAAACGTTACTACTCAAACTACGCACGGTAGGTTCGCCCACTTTTTCCCCCAACCTTACTCCAAATATCACTTTAATGTTTAGTATAATGATCCAGAATCAAGGCATTAAAACAATGTTTTACTTTAACAAAGTGAGCAAAAATATTGATTTGACACGCAAAATTCACGAACTTGCGGTTGCCCTTGAACTTTTTCCTGGGAAACCGGGCGTTAATAGAGTCTTTGAAGACGGTAATCAGTTTTTTTAAAGTTGTGTTTCTTGGCAAGTGACCAAGAAGTAGAGTTCGGGAATTGAGTTCATCTGGAATGCACGAGTAAATTAAATAAACATCTGAATGGGAATATGGAACACTTGGAGATATTTTAAGCTCACCCATTCGACTACGCGCCATTTCCACTAAATCAGAAGCTTTGTATTCCGTCATCTCCTATATTAAAAACACAAAATGAATATAATACATCATACAAAGACACACTTTGAATAATATGCGGGACTGAACTACAGACGGGCAGAGACGCCATTTCTGTGCTTGATAAAGTTTTGCAATAACTACGGGAGAAGTTGATTATGCTACACAAGGGAGCTATGGTAACATCCTAAGTATACACCATCCAAACGCAGAATAAGGATTATGACGCGTTTACTGGTGTTTTTGCCAAAGTGCCACATGTCAACAAGGGCGATAAAACTGCAACTAACGAACAGTAAAGCGTTTACTTGAAATTTGCATCCCAAAAAACGCTTACGAAGTCATTACTAAATAATAGCATATCCAAAGAGAAGATCTGGAAACTTACAATCAAACACGCCCGATGAAAACTACTAAATTGACCGCGCCAAATGCGATTTTATTGATTGGCCGATTTAAAGTAGCCATTGTGACTGGTTGATAAGCCGCAAACTAGATAAATGCTTGTATTATATATTCATGACATAAGCACTTGCCTTAAATAACATACTCTAATTTGTCGAAGTTGCGTTCAAAACAATAGTCACTGTTATAACGCACCTTATATAAATTTTGTTCTGTTTTAATACAGACACCTAATAACTTTTATTTAGCTAAGCTCTGTAAACAAAGATTTGCACTCTAACCACATCCTCGTTCACATAAGCAGCTGAATACTGCATTATTTGCGTTCATCCCAGAAGTATGTTAAGTCCTCTGTAAGTGTTACACCGCTTATTGCGTAGCTTTTCACTTTAATTTATGTCTCTGGTTAACACCTGACTTTACCAAAAGGTCATTTAGGCATTGTGAGACAGTGGATTTCTGGATCTTATATTAAGATCAGACAATACTGAGACTACATGGAGTAGACTTCCCACGTCGTAGTATAAAAGGACTAACTACAAGAATCAAACGCCAGGCACCGTCCATTCGAGTCCTCCACGCTGGCTGCGTCGATCATTATATACTGCTCCTCATACATGTCTGTCTTTGGCTAGTTACAAATCTTACTCGAAAGCTATTTGAACCCAAAGGGACAGTGGATTGGTTGAGGTCAGCGTAGTCCAATAAGTCTCTGCGCTGCCTCTCACTCAGAAGAATAGAAGTTCTCGGTTTGCCGCATGATTCCCTGCACTGTTGACATTTGATAAAATTCATATGCATTATTCCTAATCCCGGCCACTGGACCGGTATATCGGAAGGACAGACTTAGCAACTGCAAGCCGTGCTCAAGGGTCTTAGCATTTGTTATCCTAAGTAAACAAAAAGCTAAATTTCGAATTGTGATATCCATATACATTCGTTGATATTAATGTAGAATACGCGAGCCATGACACCTAGAAAACTGATACAAAAGAACAAGCCCAATCGACCAATTGCAAACATACACCCTTCGTCAGGCGACTATATCTATTATATTATTAATCCACTCATGACACTGGTAGGCTGCAGAGTAGAATACCCGAGCCCTAAAGGAAGAAGACAAATGCAACTGAACAGGCTTTATTGACCAGTCAGAGCCCATAACCACGATTTAGGCGACGTCCATCCGAGTCCTTTACGCTGGCTCCCATGCACATTATAATCCGCTTCTTAAATGTGTATTTCTCTGGTTGGCTGCATATCTTCCTCGGATGCCATTTGATCGAAGAGAGACAGAGGATTGGCTGAGGCCAGCGTAGTTCAAAATGTCTGCACCATCAGACATCGCCACTGTAGATTTCGGGCTCATGGTAAGAACAAGACTGAGCGGTAACACGAATAACTTTACTAGATACAGAAAGCGCTACAGCCCGGTCACAATCTGGTCGGTCCGCATGGGGAAAACAGGGGCTTTATATATCCTTGTCCTGTTCTTCCTGTTCTCCTGTAATACGTTGTCAATCTTAGAAAACTCCGTATCTGTTCTACATTGGTCGGTGTTGGCCATGTCCTAACTTTCTCCGTTTCATCCGGATCCGTTCTGATGCCTTCCTTAAAGACGACGTGGCCCAAAAACTTAACCGACTCCCTGGAGAGTGCATTTCTCTGGATTAAGTTTAAGTCCCGCCCCACGAAATCGCTCAAGACATTACGTAACCTTCAAATGTTCTGCTTGATGTCCTTTGCGTGAACAATCACATCGTCCATATAAACCAAGCACTCCTACGGTACTAGGCCTCGTAGGACTATGTTCATAAATCGTTGAAACGTGTGGGGGCATTGGCTAACGCGAAGGGCATAGTTTCGAATCCATATAACCCGGACGGAATTAAGAACGCCGTCTTCTCCCGATGGATTGGGTTAATTTCGACTTGCCAGTAGCCCGACTTAAAATCCAAAGTAGAAAACGTCGTAGGTCCCCCTAATGCGTCTAGCGTGATATCCATCCGTGGGATGGGAAAGCTGTCTTTCACGGTGACCTCATTTAGTTTCTGATAGTCGATGCATAACCTAATGGCACCGTCCTTCTTTTTGTCGACAACTATGGGCGATGCCCATGGGGATGACAACGGTTTGATTATTTTCTTCTGTAACATCCGCAATGGCTTCCTTAACCGCCTGCTGATACGCCACAGGTATCCGTCGGGGTCGTTGTCGAATAGGGCGTGCCTCCGTCGTGTAAATGTCATGGATCGTAACATTTGTTCGACCCGTGTCTGCCCCGTCCCACGCAAATACATCTGTATACCCCTGGACCAACTTGCAAAGCTGAGTGAGGTCGAGCCCCCCACTGTGTGCTTGTGTGCTCATCAATCGGTCTAGCTAATCTGGAGTTGGGTGTGTCTGAGTTGTAATCGCAGATATGACACCATTGCTCAGCTCATAAACTACCGGTACCTCATGAGATCCTAGGCGTAAAGACCGCTGTGGCCGACTATATTCGCCCGCGTTCCTGTCAAGGAAGTCTGACTTCAATAAACCATCGTATGGCATGTCCTGGCATAAATATAAAGTATTCTGGTATAGATTACCCGCGATAGTGAGTGAGATATCAACACACCCCTTACTACGCATCGCAGTGCCATTCGCGGTCTTAACCTTAACTGACGACTCCACCAGGTATGGTTCAAACACTTTTTGAGGGAACCGTCTTGGGTTGACCAAGGAATATCCTGCACCCATATCAACAAGAAAGTGCATTAACCTATTACATAAACCTATGGATATGAAGGGTCGGGCGTCAGCACATGACGCATGAATGGCAGGGCATGGAACTGACGCACTTGGAGGCTTCTTAGAACCTTCTCCGCCGTGAGGTTTCTTCGTCCATTGTCCGTTGGATCCTCTGAATCGCGGCCCTTGGAACCTGTTCATTTTCAGTCGCCACTGTGGAACGCGACTTGGCTGAGCCGGTGTGGAAAACTGGACTTTGTCCGCCAGTTCTGGGTCAGCCATGAGAGCCTTCTGTCCAAGTCGTCGTCGCTGAGTTGCCACTGCCTCTTCAGATGCAGTAGTCCTAATCCCGGGCAATGTCTATGGATCCATTGTATGGGACATTGGATGATTGGCGTGACAACTTCAGCTGGCATTCAAGGGTCTTTGCTTCTGTTGACCGTCTTAGGGAAAGGACTGGGGTACGACCCGCATTATTCGACCGCATCCGCTGCCACTAATGTATAATACGGAGAACTAATAGAAAAAGATCGGTACAACAGAACAGGCTTTATTGACCAATTAGAAGCCAGAGCCACGCGTCAGGCGCCTTCCATCCGAGTCCACCACGCTGGCGACGTCGCTCATTGTATACTGCACCTCAGTTGTGTCCTTCTCTGGTTGGCTGCTTATCTTCCTCGCACGCCATTGGAACACAGAGAGACACTGGATTGGCTGAGACCAGGTGGTTCAACATGTCTGCGCCCTGATCCGACGTTACAAAAAACAACCTGCCACACTAAACCACAGTACACCAAATCCCATTGCACCACAGCACGTTGCAGACGCATTTTCTGGTCAATTCTAATCTTTTTGTCTCGTAATTAGGTAGATTGATAATAGAGGCAAATATTTTTGGGGTTTCTACGGTTTTAGCAATCGTGAACATCAAGCTATCCGCCTTCTAGTCTGTCATACCTACAACACTTGATGCTCCTTTGCTGACAGCTACAATGGAGGATGATATCTTTGTTGAGACACATTTATTGGCCCCATCGCAGCACCCTTGCATACCTTCCAGATTCAGTTCTGTTAATCTCGCCTTAGAAGTTATGGATATATCAGGAAGTGCTGATAAACTGAAGCTTGTTTTTCACCCGTCTGATTGTGGTTCAACAACGCCATGGCACATAGCAAATACTGCAAAAGCTCGTGCGAACAATCTTTTGTTGCGGCTTACCACAGACAATAAACTTAGAGAAAATCTCTTGCTAGAAATACGGGAAATCTTATCCCTTGATCCAGCCGAATTTGATTGTAGCCTTTTACTCTCCCCAATTCTTACAGTCGATTCATGTCCAAGAGACGAGTCGGATAGTTTAGCATGTGATGAAAAACAGGATGATGTCCTGGTTTTGTTCGGGTCACCAGCTTCCGCATTTCAGCTTTTTTTTTCGATTCCATGTCTTCAGTCAAATATTTTGAATATTCTTGTGGAATCTGTTACTGCTGGGTCGACTTACTCTCTTCAGTTACTTTCTCAACTACTGAACCCGGTTGGATTGAATTCTTTTTATAACAGCTCTACAGACGTTGAGGACGTTGTAACTCGACTCATTGAAATCTTCAAAATTACACACCTCCGATCTATAAGGTGTCATATTTTGCAGATGATTCCAGATTTATTAGCCACACCAGTTAACACTCTACAGCACCAAACAGCTTCTGAAGTTATATTTAGTGCGATGCAAAAGGTTGTGGACCTCTTGGAATCTGTGGTTCTATTGCCGAATGACGGTGAGTCAGAACGCCTGTCGGGTTATCCATTAGCCACCGAGATTATTGAATGCGTTTGTCAGTTTCCACTAGAAGGTCCCACTCTTATGCGTTTAAAAACCGCCTGCAAACGATTGCTTTCCCAGTCCGTGGATTCATCGTCTTCCCAACAGCAAATGGCAAATCTTATTCGCTGTTTATTCACAAACAAGCTTTCGAAGTTGTTCAATTGTGAGGACCTTATGGAGTTTGTTCCGCTGTTACGCCAACGAATACGTCTATCGGAATTGGTCACTTCAGACGACATTTCTTTACTATTTGATACGCTTTCTCTCATCTTCCGCTCTAATTGCCCTCTAAAACTCCAGTACGTTCAAAGTATTCTGAAGTGTCTATTTTAGGTGGATTTCTTATCTTTATCGTGAATATTCTAAAAGTGATTCGGGATACGATAGCCTTTTTGACGATCTTTTGATCCTACTGCTTGCTAACGGGACGGAATTGTCAGTGGAAAGTAATCCGGATGCTACTGTTTCTATTAAACGGAAGGAAGTTTCCTTGGTATTAAAGACGCTTGGTCCTGTTGCAGAGAGAATCGCGTCCTTCGAGTCAGTGCAGTCGATTTCCAACCATTTTAAAATTTTGGGCTCCAAGCAACTGTTCCCTTCTCTAATCACTCTCACTGGTCATCTGACTTCTAATTACCCAACGCCTCAAGCACTTCGATTTGTTTTTCTCATATATTCTTGTGTGTTCAGCTTTTGTGAGCCAGGGGGAGAACAATCAAGCATGGTAGTTATGCAGCTCTGTAACACTATCTGCCCTTCAATGCCCAAGACTTCTGGAAGGCCACAGGTAGCCAAAAAGACTGCAATCATTCTTGATATTGTGCTTCAACTCTCTAAAGCTTTCTCAGAGAAACTGTCACCTTTCTCGGATATACTACTCACCCTTGTCGATAGAATAAGTACGTCAGAAGGTGGAGAGGGTCGACAACCAGATATTCCTGATTTGAGGGATATACGAAAACTTTATGCAATCCTGGTATACACTGCATTTTGGTACGTTACGTTTTGTTTAAATGACACTCACTTTATTAGGGGGAGGAATCAGGCTTACTTGCAAGATGATTTATTAATTATTATTCGTCGCCAGCTGTTGAATCGTTCATGTAGGCTGAGGACAGTTGGGCTGATTGGTGCCGTGACGGTTCTGGAGATGCTTTGCCGGAAACAAAAGCGACCAGAAAACGAAGGACTCATCAACAATACACCAATGTCTCAAATTGAAAATGTCGAGGTATGCTTAGATTTTCACAAGGCCTTATTGTAGTTGCATATTTATCTTTTTTGCTTTTTGTGTCGTACCAAAAGCATCTATGTTAAATTGACATGTCAAAGCTCAGTCTGAAATCGTTTTATTTTGGGTTATTAAAATCGGTAACTCTTGTCGTTCTCCATTGCCGCACGATGTGTTTTCGGTTATATTCGCTTCTTAGTAACGATTAGTTGTGTTCGCCCAAATATTTCATACTTTTTGTTAGAGGTAGTTTTATGCTTCAGAATCTACTATATATGGCAGCGTTTTTGTAGTGTGGCTATCCCTAAAATTCTTCTGGAAGTGTTTTTGTGTTTGTATTTACTTTAGCAAATGGATCCTATTCCTTACCTTAAAGAAGTATGAGCTCATGTCAGTTCATTTATTAAATTCATTCCTTTTTCTGTTAATTAAAGTAGTTAAAAACACCAGCTCCAACACAGCTGCGCGGTTTTTAATATGCCACAAGAAATATTAGTTGCGACATTCTTCTGGATTTGTCAAGCTGACAATGAAAGGCATTTTGGTCATGATGTGTTGTTTTCATTTTGTGGCAATATCTGCAGTGTCAATGAAAACCACGTTGCATGCACCTTAATCTATTTGGTGAGTGTCCTGTTGTCGGAGGCATGGCTGAAAATAGGGTTGTAGTTGGCAGCGATCACCATTAGACGGTAAATGAGCTAGGAAGGTTACTAAACGCAGGTCCCTCGGCTTTCTGGGCTTGAAATGTGATATCAAGTTTTGCAATATTGCGCTTAGCGGAATAGCTCACGTAACCGTAATGACTAGTTGATGCACTCATTCATGCTATTTTTAAATTTTGGCCCCAAACTTGGTCGATCATACTCATTCTTATCTCATGGCGCAATTTTTAAAAAAATCAGCGTCCTCTCTGTAAATCTTTAAACTTTAAAATCTTTTTAAATTTACTTTCGGTGCATTATGCACAATTCCCTAAAATCATATGAAGCGGGAATACTAGAGTTATAACATACGGACATTCAATCAGTTATGGTGATTGAACGTGTTGTTTAGCATTAGTAATTGTTGCCTTTATTCCGCAATTTTCGGTTACAAATACAACATTGCATTCTCGTCAAACAACTCTCCAACCTATGAAACTCGTCTGGTTGTGCGTCCCCAAACTACATCCCTGCCGTCATCCTAACACTGTTTTCCCAGCTTTGACCTCTAATTTTCTTGCACCACATTTCCATCAAATGTGATACAATTTCTTTATTATCTAACATTGCATTCTGTTTGCAGCCAAATCCTCCAGTTGTCATCAAAGTTGCCGGCTACTTGAAAAAAACTTTGTGGTTGTTAACGAGCTTGCCTTGGTGTCTTCCAGGAATGCCAAAAGTCGGTGTGAACAACATTTATGATACTGAATGCCAGGTCCCCTAACGGAACACTTCCCAAAATATACATGCCAATGAACGGAGACGTGTAGCAATGGGCAACTGCACTTAAATCGTACTGCTCATTGGCACCCGCTAAGTCTGAAAGCAACATGTCGGGTGGACACAAGAGTTAGTTCACCCCAAATGCACGGCGTCCCATTGTGTGCGTGTAGTGAGGCTACTTATGGAATACTTGTAAACAGAGGCCAATGAAGGTTTGGTGACAGATAACTATCAGCCTCTACTCATGTGCCACTGCCGACAGTCCATTACAGATGTGATTAGTATCAGCTATCGTGGTTAGCACGTAAAGCCACCGTCACCTGTTACCGTCATCGAACAAATGTGGTCCATCATGTTCAAAGTAAGCGCGACGTAAAGTTGCTTTTCGTGGTGAATTGTCCTGTCATTTACATCCCTTCAATTTGTAAGTCCGCATTATTTAGTTCCGAACCATGGCTTAGGTATATTAGCTCTAGAGATACATAATAATCGTCTTAAAAACGAGCAGCAAATTGCTTGAGTTTTAGTGCTTAGCGTATAACGATTATTGTCTTTAGCTGGCTCCTCGCCAACCGAATTTTGTTGGAATATCTCTATTCTTTCATTATTTTCGCCCTTCATGTTTAATGTGCTAATCTGCACTTGGACACAATTCGACTGGCCTTCAGTTTTGACCTAAGAGAGGAAGCTCTGTTGATGCAAATAGTTCCTTTAGTCGTCCGATTCTATGTCGAACTGTAATTTAGTAGACTGCGATGCAGCGTCTTCTCTCAAAATGTATGCCGCGATATGTTTATTTTCGCCCTTCATGTTTAATGTCTGACACTGGGTAAGGGTTGAGTTGGAACTATTATCCAAAAGAGCCATCATCCATGCCATGGGTTGGCTTGCTTACTGGTCACTGGAGCCTATGGTAGAGAGATGCCATTGGACTAAAGTCGTTTGTGTCCCAAAACGCATCGTAATTCTTCACTTCTGGTTTGTTGTCAACTCAGTTGAGCTAATGTAACAACATATGGTGTTGTTTTTATTGGTCTCAACGATTCTACTTCTGTGCGATCTGCGGTCTCGGGCGATAATTCATGCCCACACAATGACAACACAACTTGCATTATCGAACCGTGGGTTGCCACTTTTGTGGTCGTAGAAAGCAAATTTGCCTATATTCTCCCAACATGTCGTGCAGCGATGGGAACCTCGAGGAGCTTGTCTTTGGGTTTCGTCGACAACCTCTTGGCTGGTTGACAGACTCTTTGCAAACGGTTGGCTCATCGGACCTGGTTCAGGCGTTTGCTCAACTTACTTTAGTACTCTTGCGGCGATTTTGGTCCATTTGAATTGCAGTTAAAAACATCAGTTTTTAATGATCACCTCAAGGTCTCGTTGTATTTAGTCATTTAGTATTGAGCAGCCGCGAATGTTTCCCCATGTTGCTTGAATTATACCAGTATCGGCCGCTATAATCACTGCTGTGTGTAATGTATCAAGCCACCAAAGAATTTTGGGCTCCAGTTGGACTTCTGTGATTCGTGTCTTTTATTATTCGCCTCACTCTCAGTCCTGGTTCTATTTCTGGCCCCTCTCACTCCTCATCATTTAAATCAGCGAACATTTGTGAAGAAGTTAGTTGTATGGTGACTGTAGAGGGTTGTCTTATCTCACACTCCAGATTATGCTTGAATAACTGTTAACTGCTCCCAGTTTATCAAGTTCTCATTCCTCAGATTTCTATCAGTGGTGGTCAGGCAGCCTGAACGGGAATGTTAGAATGTGCTTGTTGTAGGTGGGCAGCATACACCAACTCCCGGTTGTCGGTCCTAGGGAGCGAAAAGGTCCTGGTGACCGACTACAAGCCTCGAGACCGGCCAACTGGGGCGCGTAAAGGCGGAAAGCGATTAATACAAGTCTAGATGTTGCGATCATGGCTGGGGACTTTTTTACTTCGCTGCTGCAAAGAACCAGGTAGACCTGGCACTTAACTGTGTTACCTCTTTTAGTGTTCTCAAAGCGGTGTACTGGCCAGTCAAATTATTCCTGTAAATTCTCAAGTTCCTGGTTCACCAAACTCTTCTCGCAACAGTTATGGCCACCTCAGCCTAAAAGGTCCGGGCACAAGTCTTGCTGATGACTCCCAGGAGATAAACCTTCCAATCGAATCGGAATTGGACTCTGAAAATCAGGAATCCGGCAGGGCATTCCTCCCTCAACCATCGAGGCTCATACTTCAATTGGTCGGCCTGGTTGAAAATGCAATCAGACAGACACAGCTGACGCAGTTAAAGGTTTTGTGGTTGGACGAGCTCGCCGCGATGTTTGCACGTCTGGAGGAGACCATGCGTCAAGGCGACGCCTCTCTTGCTACAAATGCGAAGACCTTTATCGATTGGATGGGGAGCCGGGTGATGCGAGAATTCCAGGTGAGTTGTCTTACGTCATTGTCACTAGCCAGCATATGTTCTTGTTAAGCACAAATGCAAATTTCCAGTGTTTGAACTAGAAAAACTACCGTATTTAAAAAAACACATTTAAGCGCTCATTTTGTCGGAATCCTTCCTTTCCATTTTATATTCTTATGAGGGTGAGATTTTGGCCCAACTTTCTTGAAGCGTACACTTGTAGTCATTTTGGTAACACTGCACCGCCTACCGGTCCAATGTGAATGCAACCCCGGCTATGATTAACGCTGCCGACCTGCATGGATTGCAGGTGTAAAGGAATATTTTAAGCTCTGTGATGTTGCAGTCTTTTTGTATTGTGCCTTTAATTGTAGGAGGAGTTTGTGGTAGACAATGCGGCAACTCCCGGCAATGAGACACATTTGGCACTTAATCGGAGGGAAATATGCGAAATTGCACTCAACGTGGGGCCCGCATTTACTCGTCACATGGCTTCTACGGCCTCAACTAGGCCTCTGTTATTGACACAAGTCGGAAACCAGACCTCCCACAAAAGGCCTAGGCTCTCAGCTCCACGGAACCTCTGTCCCTCCCTCATACCCTGCCATCTCCACCTGCTGGCCGTCGTTGAGTCCACGCGAAGCAACCGTAGCCTCGATGGTAATTTTATTCTTGAAATCTTTTTCGGTTGAAACAACTTTAGAGCGGAAGTGGATTTTGTTTGGCCATTTATTAAAGAGGGCGTTTCAATGTCCTTATCTAGGAGCATTCATTGTCAGAATAATGTGTGTACATCAAATAAGGGCGCGCCCGCGAGAATCAATCCGGCTCAAGTGTGTAAAATGTTAAATGGTTTGTGGTACTCAAAATTTTCCAAACTTTTTGCCTTTCGCACAGTCTTCATTGACACAGTCTCCGCTTTATGATCCTACAGGTAATCACCCAAATTGTTCGATTTTACCATTTAAATAAGTCTAATTGCACGCACCTATACCTGGTAAATATTTCATTAGTCTGCTTGAACTGGCCTGCTGTAATTATCGCCAATGTTCAGCCAATGTGCGTTTCGGGATTCTCGACTGCCCAGCTAAAGTTGGTTAGACCCGAAGACAATGTGATCGTCTAGAAAGCTTTCAACCCATTTGTCTAAAATCTCGATCAAAATTTATGGCGGCCACATGATCCTCTTTACAATTCTTTGCACAATCCGTGTGTTGATGACGGTCTGACGCTGTCGAGTCGTTTTGGTTGGATACTGAACTGGTTTCCTACTGATTTAATAGTTAGTAAATGGTATATTTCGGAAATTGTAATCTTTCAGAGAGCCCTTCACGCCATTTCACTCCTTTCCAGTGAGTACTTAAAGCCACCATTCAATAATGCCCTTAATTGCTGCTAACTACATGGCTAGATGTTTTCACCCTTAATGTCAAAATGTGGAGTCGTTTTGAGACAAAGGTCTCATCCGAAAGTGTCCCCTTTTAGTATCCAACTGGAATCTCCAGGGGGTATTCATTGAAATCTTTATTGTTATTACCTGAATGAGGTTTCATCAAAGAAGCGAGTTCCCGCCATGAGTTTGTGAAATGTCGGTTTCACGAACGCAGTCGTGGCTCAATCACACAAACACCGCACACTCACTGCCACCCACCCAATTTCGAAGGTGCTTGTCTGAAAAGTCCGCCTGACCACCTGCCCTGGCAGATGGTCTTCCACTCACATAAAGCTTGTACAAATAATGACGCATCTCCGCCTCAGGTTATTTGCCTCGTCTCGTTTACGGACTCACGGAGGAATTTCTCATAA